ACTTCACTTAATTTCTTCTGCAGTTTTGGGCTTTGGCGGTATTTATCATGCACTTCTTGGACCCGAAACTCTTGAAGAATCTTTTCCTTTTTTCGGTTATGTATGGAAAGATAGAAATAAAATGACCACCATTTTGGGTATTCACTTAATTTTGTTAGGTGTAGGTGCTTTTCTTCTAGTATTCAAGGCTCTCTATTTTGGGGGCGTATATGATACCTGGGCTCCGGGAGGGGGGGATGTAAGAAAAATTACAAACTTGACTCTTAGCCCAAGTGTTATATTTGGTTATTTACTAAAATCTCCCTTTGGGGGAGAAGGGTGGATTGTTAGTGTGGACGATTTGGAAGATATAATTGGAGGGCATGTATGGTTAGGTTCCATTTGTATATTTGGTGGAATCTGGCATATCTTAACCAAACCTTTTGCATGGGCTCGCCGCGCACTTGTATGGTCTGGGGAGGCTTACTTGTCTTATAGTTTAGCTGCTTTATCTGTTTGTGGTTTCATTGCTTGTTGTTTTGTCTGGTTTAATAATACCGCTTACCCTAGTGAGTTTTACGGACCTACGGGGCCAGAAGCTTCTCAAGCTCAAGCATTTACTTTTCTAGTTAGAGACCAACGTCTTGGAGCTAACGTGGGGTCTGCTCAAGGACCTACAGGTTTAGGTAAATACTTAATGCGTTCCCCGACTGGAGAAGTTATTTTTGGAGGAGAAACAATGCGCTTTTGGGATCTGCGTGCTCCCTGGTTAGAACCTTTAAGGGGTCCTAACGGTTTGGACTTGAGTAGGTTGAAAAAAGACATACAACCTTGGCAAGAACGACGTTCTGCAGAATATATGACTCATGCTCCCTTAGGTTCCTTAAATTCTGTAGGGGGCGTAGCTACTGAGATCAATGCAGTTAATTATGTCTCTCCGAGAAGTTGGTTATCTACCTCTCATTTTGTTCTAGGATTCTTCCTATTTGTGGGTCATTTATGGCACGCGGGAAGGGCTCGGGCAGCGGCAGCAGGATTTGAAAAAGGAATTGATCGTGATTTTGAACCTGTTCTTTCTATGACTCCTCTTAACTAAAGTGGTAGTTCAAATAGGAAAGTAAAAATCGATTCATATTAAAAAGTCTTCTTTGTTTCTTTCAATTCAATCTAATTTTTTCTGGCTCGGCTATACTATCCAGCCGAGCCATTCTCCTTTTTTTATGATCCTAAGAAGTAAAAAAGCCAATAAAGAAAAAAATATTAATCCAACAAAAGGAGAGAGAGGGATTCGAACCCTCGATAGTTATTTTTTATGAACTATACCGGTTTTCAAGACCGGAGCCATCAACCACTCGGCCATCTCTCCGAAAGATAATTTCTATTTTATTTTTTTTTTGCCAAATAGAACATAGCCCTATGAGTTAATATGATCACTATGTAGAGAAAGATATAGGGTGTGACTTTCTTTACTTTATAGGTCTATAAATCTGTCTATATAAATACCATGATCCAGTATACCCATTTGTGAAGTCAAAAAGAACCTTTAACTTAATGTCCGATAGGTAAAAAGAAGTTGGAAATAAGTCATCTCGAATCAACGGATTCATGATAAAATCCCTTTATTTATTAAAATTTTTTAGTGGGTAAGAGGATTAAATGGTGTATTTTGTTAATAGCTTGGAGGATTAAAAACATGACTATTGCTTTCCAATTGGCTGTTTTTGCATTAATTATTACTTCATCAATCTTACTGATTAGTGTACCCGTTGTATTTGCGTCTCCTGATGGTTGGTCGAGTAACAAAAATGTTGTATTTTCTGGTACATCTTTATGGATTGGATTAGTCTTCTTGGTGGGTATCCTTAATTCTCTTATCTCTTGAATTAATTCGTTGCAGATCCAAAAATGAGATGACCCCTCCCATTCCATGAATTACACATTAAAATTCAATATAAGTATAAATCCATAAAATGCAAATAAAGAAAACAAAAAAATTAGAGGGGGGGGTCAAACTTCCGGAACTTGAGTGAAATATGAATAAAATATTAATAAATATCAATTTACTAAATATGAAATAGTAATAAATAACTAAAAAAAAACTAATCAAAAATTGATATCTGATATCAATATAGAATATAATATTTTAGGGAAATAGAGAATAATATATTCTTGAAGATGAAATTCAATATTTCAATATATAGAATAAATAGATTATTTATAACTATATTATTAATATCTATATTATTAATATATATTTATATATATGTAATAGAATTGGTAATTCAATTGGTTTGGTGGTAGAATTTTATGAAAGAACCCCAAACCAAAGAGTCTATCTCATATAGCTTTGAACAAATATTATCCATAAATTTCTTATCAAGAAGGCAGAAAAATGCGGATATAGTCGAATGGTAAAATTTCTCTTTGCCAAGGAGAAGACGCGGGTTCGATTCCCGCTATCCGCCCAAATATAAATAGATTCAAAAAGATAAAGGATTCGGTATAGTTGACCGGAAAATAGAGTAATTTTTTCCTCGCGTACCAAAAGACAAGTATTAATTAATGACTAGTTAATAGAATCAAACTTACATTTGTTGAAAAAAAATGTTGCGGAGACAGGATTTGAACCCGTGACCTCAAGGTTATGAGCCTTGCGAGCTACCAAACTGCTCTACCCCGCGATGAAACAAAATAACTTGGACTAAACTCTAATAAACAAAGAAGAATTAAATGCGCCCCTATTCCATATCTGTACAAATAGAATAGCCTATTTAGACAGAATGGTAAAGGGGCCTCGTCGATCATAGAAAAAATCAAAAAATTAAAGGATACTTAAATCCTTACCAGCTTGATCTTGTTGCCCCTGGCAACAAACATGCATGAACCATTTCCCGAAGGATGTGTCCAGATAATCCAAAGTCTCGATAGTTAGCTCTCGGTCTTCCGGTCGAAAAGCAACGTCGATGAAGACGTGTAGGTGCACTATTACGCGGTGGGGATTGTAATTTTCCATGAATTTTCCATTTCTCACTTAGCGACGAAATCTGACTTATTTCCTTTTTTGAAGATCGACGAATCAAATGATATTTTTGTTCCAATTTTTGCCTCTTCTTCTCCCTATAAATCAAACTTTTCTTTGCCATAATGCTTGAGTTCCTCTTATTATCAATGATGATTATGAAGGTTTCTTGAGTCCCCAGATCATGTATGTTCATTATGCCATGCATGTTTCTTTTTTAAGAAAGATGACAACATATAAAGATTTGATCTTGCATTAATGAAATGATTTTACAATATTCACAGAGATGATTTCAGAGATTATGCGGATCTATGTTTCGAGGAATTTGGTGACATAGTAAAGAACTGGATCACAATAAACCAGCTCTACTCAGTGCCTATAAGAGGCTACGGAGTGGGATCAGATGCACCCGGTCGATGTTCCCATTGGCAAGATAGCTCATGTTACGCCGGAAATTCAGCAACAGAACCCTACATCGTTGCACATAACCAGCTTCTTGCTCATGCCACGGTCGTGGATCTTTACAGGAGGAAATATAAGGTGAGTTCTTCTTTTTTTTTTAAAGGGTGTAGTCTAACATTTTAATTAAATCATCATCATTGTGTATAACTATTTATTTGCGTGAACACAGCCAACACAAGGAGGACAGATTGGACCTGTGATGATAACTAGATGGTTTCTTCCATATAATGTCACTGATAAAACCAGCATAGAAGCAACTGAGAGGATGAAAGAATTCTTCATGGGATGGTATATATAATCCTAAAATGAAATGATTTTTAAACATTAATATGAATTATATAATTATATATATTCATATTAATAACAAAACTGATAAGAAACATGCACGTACGTACATCAGGTACATGGAGCCGCTAACAAAAGGTAAATATCCAGACGTCATGAGGGAATATGTGGGTTGTCGGCTTCCAGAGTTCACGGAAGAAGAATCCGAACTTGTAAAGGTTCCTATGATTTTCTTGGTCTCAACTATTACTTCACTCAGTACGCCCAAGAGGCAGCCCCAGCTCCTAGGGTCTCTGCCATGTCGGACCCACGCGTACAATTTTCATGTACTAATTAGTAACATCCTTTCTATATATATAAATATCTTTATCCTTTTTACTAAACCAATATTTTGTGAGTGACAATCAATTTATTTAATTTATCTTTGTCTTTACAGTTGTTAATGCAAGTAACCATACCATTGGTCCACTGGTATACATATATGCATGATCCACCCCTATTCCTTTTCATTCATAACTTTAGCAAAATTTATAACAACCATCTATATTCTTCTGATTTATATTTGCTTCCATTCTTAGTTCATGGGGACGTCCATTACTACCCAAGAGGCATATTAGATATAATGAAGCACTTCAAAGAAAGATACGGTGACCCTTTAATCTATGTCACGGAGAACGGTGAGTTCTACTAGTAATCTTTTCATTCATTCTTTACATGTTATATGTAGTTTAAAATGGTTCAAGAAACTGACTCAAATACTGCATGTGGAAATTGTTCATGTTATGACGGTTTAATTAGGATTCCCTACTGCCGGTGATGTAACCGCTGAGGTGGGTATGGTCGATCCAGAGAGGATTGATTATCTCTGTAGTCATCTCTGTTTTATCAGTAAGGCATCAAGTGAGTTGGGTGCTATTCTTCTTCCAATTGTTCATTTACATATAATCATATTTGCATGTATGATCATCAAGTTGTACGCCACCTTTTAATGATTGTTCTTGTTTTCAGGGAGTTTAACGTCAATGTCAAAGGATATTTTGCGTGGGCTCTTGGGGATAATTATGAATTCGGAGCAGGCTTTACCATGAGATATGGACTCAGTTTCATTGATTGGAACAATGTCACTGATAGAGACCTCAAAGATTCTGGCAAATGGTACCAAAAGTTCATAAACGGTCCCATAAAGCCTGCCAAACAAGATTTCCTCCGCTCAAGCCTCTCCTTCGAAAACAATAAGAAGCTCAAAGATGCATGAAAGAACCAAACCACTTTATAATCCTCATCCAGATCATCTTCATGGCTCCTCTTTTTAGTTGCTCTACACTCTACAGAGAAGGAGCTTCTTCATATATGTACGTACTGTATTACATAAAAATCCGAATAAAAGAAGATGATCAGTATCAATAATCAATTTATTTACTGCGTTGTGTCAAGGGATGGGAAAAGAACCCAATCACACCAAAACTAGAATCGGTTTATTATCACAAAAAACAAAACAAAAAAAAATCCGAAACCATCACCCTTGAACTCACCAAATTTTAGTAGTTTTTAACTTTTGATTATATATTCATTAACTGGAAATAAAACAATATTCCATAATATAATATCAACAAAATTAAAACATTATTTTCAGTTATTTTTCTAGCTATAATCGAACCGAATGCAATTTTAAACTAGACCAAAATTGTATCAAACCAAAACCAAAAAAAATGGTTTAATTGTTTTAAAAAATCAATAAAACCAAGATAACTAAACCGAAACCACATCATTGCTTTTATTGATTTTCTATTATTTTCAGTATTTCCAGCCCGTAGATTCAATTAGTACATTATTGACATGTACTAATTAAACTTATTGACATCTCCAATCCCAACCCAACAATATTTTGGAGTAAAATCTTCTGTAACCTCTTGTATTTCAGTTTCTTAACAACAAATTCATTAGAAGGCCTAATTAATAGACTTACCCAAATACATTCGGCACAAGATCGTTGATAGATTGATCAGCGATTTACAGTAGATTGAACGACGAATCGTTTTTTATAAACTCTCCAATGCATTAGAATGGATATGTGTATTTCAGGTCAGGTCACCTAATTTTATTCGTATCTGATGAGAATTATGCGAAAAGGAAACACTAAGCACATGTGGGCACATGATTATGACTTCTCTCACCTTATTTAATCTCTTAAAACAATTAAACAACTGCCAAGTCTCTGGTATCACGTTTACAGCGCTGTCCACAAACCTGTCCTATTTCTAAGACCGAACATGAATTTTGAAGAATCTCTAGAGGAAATAATATAAATTGATGAGTTGTTTTACACATGTTTCTAAGCATTATAATAGAACCAGAAATCATCACATAATATTTTTTTAGTAGCTTTCTTTGACTAAAAAATAAAAATCGGTAATTCAGATCAGTAGATTATAAGAAAGAAGGAGCGTGCTGAAATTCGAAATTGCTTAAACAAAATCATTAGGATCAACGAGACTTATTAAATTTTAAATTAACGAAATAGCTTATTCGATTATTATGTCATTAGACAGCTACTAAGATGGGGTCGAATAAATATACATCGTTATTGATATTTTTTATCGTGCACTAAATGTTAACAAGGACAAATATCACATGTTCATCTACAATAAGAACAATGACAATATATTAGTATATCATGCATCTATACATCAATAAATACTGGTCGTAGTTAATTAATTAGTCATTTGTTGTCGAAATAAAATAATGGTAGTAATTAATTAATTAGTTATATTACACTAAACACGTTACAAGATTCCATTGTACAATAATATAAGAGATCACATATTAGATAGCTCAGCTAGAGCTAGGAAGCTACCCTATTACGTCCTAGAACATTGCATCGTTTATATTAATATTGATACAACAAAGATTGACAAGGCTTTAGTTTCTTACAATATGATGAATATCTATATTTTTAGAGAATCAACATTTAAGTTGTCTTTTTTTTTTTTCTGAACTCGCGTATCAGCACCATAATGAAAAGTATCTACCATACCTAAACAAGGGCTCACTCTGCCACTCTCCAATATTATATCGGTCACGTTTTCTTGGTTCGATATTCTTCTGTCACTCTTTAGCCTTTTTTGACAAAAATGTAAATAGTTGTTCTTCTGTCACGTTACCCTACCACGATGAGACTATACATCCAACCAACGCGACAAAAATATACTTTATTAATGAATTTTACACGTGAGTAGTAGGAGTAGGACTAGGCTAGCTTCGCTTCATTATAAATCCAAAGCGATCGTTGCCCATCCACAAACCATCACTCATCTCCCACAGAACACAAACATAAACACAAACACTAGTCAAATCCTCTTTCTCCATTTCCAATGGGAACAGAAGCCGTAACCATCACGACCTTCCTGTGCCAAGACGAGACAGAGTCAACAGAATTCGAGAAGAATCAGAAACGGTACCAAGACCTAATCTCCACGTTTTCTCACTCCAAAGGCTGGAGACCCGAAGAATCGCTAATCGAGCATGGTGGTCACTGGTTCATACAGCGTCGCCTGGAAGGTTGCCTTCACGCGCAAGACTTCTTCCAAATGCGAGCTAGTGACTTAATGCTGTGTAGCCACCCAAAGACAGGTACGACTTGGCTCAAAGCTCTAACTTTCTCCATTGTCAATCGGTCCCGCTTCGACGAGTCCTCAAACCCTTTCCTAAAACGCCACCCTCAAGAGTTTGTGCCTTACATTGAGATCGACTTCCCTTTCTACCCTGAAGTTGATGTTCTCAATGACAAAGGAAACACTCTGTTCGCGAGTCACTTGCCACACGGGTTATTACCCGATTCGGTTGTGAAGTCCGGTTGTAAGATGGTTTACATATGGAGAGACCCAAAGGACACTTTCATCTCCTTGTGGTTTTTCCTCAGCAAGGAAAAGTCAAAACGTGGCCCTCTCAACAATCTTGAGGAGTCTTTTGATATGTTCTGTCGAGGTTTGTCTTATTACGGTCCTTATCTAGATCATGTTATGTCGTATTGGAAAGCTTACCAAGAGAATCCAAAACGGATGTTGTTCCTCAAGTACGAGACTATGAGAGCCAATCCTTTGCCCTATGTGAAGATGCTGGCTGAGTTCATGGGTTATGGATTCACTATAGAAGAAGAGAAGAAAGGAGTTGCTGAGAAATTGGTGAATCTTTGCAGCTTTGAAACGTTAAAGAATCTTGAAAGTAACAAAGGGGAGAAAGAGAGAAAGGACCGTTATACTATTTTTCCAAACAGTGCATATTTCAGGAAGGCTAAGGTGGGAGATTGGCAGAACTATTTGACTCCGGAGATGGCAGCTCGGATCGATGGATTGATGGAAGAGAAATTCAAGGATACTGGTTTGCTTGAACATGGTAAAATGATCAATGATTATTGATCTTTTATTTGCTTTGTTTACCAGAAAAGTTTAGTTCGATATATAACTTAGCTGTTATATATTGGAAGAATCAAACTTTCTGTCAACAGTAAAAGAATAAAATTTGCTTCTCTGTCTTATTTCAAATGTATTTGTTTCTATATATAAAAATATTTGCCTTTTGGCCAATATCTTTCTGGCATTTCAATTTTTTTTTTGTCAACTATATAGTTTAAATTAAATACCCAAGAGAATCTCTTTGCCTGATGTATCCAGCGTCTTGATCAGTTGATGCTCTGCAACTTGCTCCAGTCTCTTTTATATTCATAAATAGAGATGCAGCAGCTCAATGATTATTAAAAAAAATCCTGATAAGTATTTTAATTCAAGAATTTAGTATCATAAAACCAAAGATTATTCTCTTGGTTTAAATAAGAGGGAACAAAATTCCTAATAGCTTTTTCGGAGTTTTGAGAGGCAATTTCAATGTGGCCAAAGATAATTCAAGCAGTTAGAAATTTAGAAATATTAAACCAAATATCATTTCTAGAACAAAATCCTAAAAGTAGCTCTTTGCGAGATTTACGGACCAATAAAAAAAAATAAAAGTACATTTTTATAAGTATAACTTTGCCGAAATATAATAAGTGGAAATTTAAGGGCCTCCCTTGACTCTTCCCACTTAACGAACTTACAAGAAATATACTTTTCTTTTTGTTAAAAGTAAAAGAGAGATATATTTCTAAGCTCAGCATAATTAATATCAAATTCCAGTTCCACATACATTTCATGATGTTTATGTCATTTCATGACTTTTGTTAGCTCTAGTGACATTACCTACTTAAGAACTCAGAATCTTGGGAGCAATCTGAATCAAAGGCTCCAAGGCACTCGGAGAAAACTTTCTAGCAAAGAGATAACACATGGATGTGTATTCTCCATTGTAACTGCAGTTGTCACCTTTCAAGATTCGTGCAAAGAACTCCTCGTTGATGTCTGGTTGTTCAAATGTAGCCGGGTGGGCACCACCTCTAGACCAGTCGACCCAAGTCAAACTCCGGTTAGCCAAAGCCGCTGGTTTCTCAATCGTCAACATCGTTGGGAAATAATGCTCGTCCACGTAACAGGCTGGTGTACAAAACTCTTTAAATTTAGGGTAATACAATGTATCTTTGACAATGGAAACTGCAAGCTCTCTGTTAACCTCAAACCATTGAGCTCCTTTCCTCCATTGGTCTATGGAAACTTCAGGGTACATGTTGCCATCGTAGCGGCCTCGGCCATAGGGACTAGGATCATCAAACGAACCCATAAAGCTGTGCTTTGATTTGGTTATGTAACAGTAGATGCTTGTGAAGTTGTAGAGTGGAATGCATGACTCTGAGAGGAGAACAAACCATTCGTTTGAGATATCGAGCAGCGCGTTTGCAAGAAGCCGCCTCTCTGCATCGCACATGGTCATCAATCCCCATTCCGCAACCTGGTCAATGATGAATGGACTCTCTAAGGCACACTCTTGGAGAAAATAAACAAAATCTTGCAAAGTAGAGTAAGAGATATACCTGACTTGGTATCTGCCTACGGTAGAAAACAGAGGAAGGTGGAAACTCGGAGGAAGATGATTCTTGTGAATGGATGTAAACCGAGTAATGTTTCTCATGACCCTTGAGAAGACTCTCCCACAGCGGTGACAGCGGCAAGGAACCTATTGTCAAGAACATAAACGCGATTTTCGGGACCCTATCAAATGGATAGTCTTTCCTCTGAGGCATGAAAGACGCACGCCAAAGAAGCTCTTCATCGCTCATATTATGCATGAGAACAAGAGGAGGTTTTATCCATTTATCAAGAACATTTGGTT